AAGGAAACAAATAAGGAAAGCAAAATCTTTCTCAGGCAGCCTGGCTGCTTCCTAGCTTCCCTGAGAGTGTGGCAAGGAGCGCGGAGGCTGGGGAAAGCCCTGTGGTGTGATGCAGTTCCATGTTGCTGTATGAGGTTATCTGCCATATTGGTGTGACCTAATTCATTGCAATACCAACTCTAGCAAAGCGCTGGAGACCTTCCAGAGCATTTCAGCGAGGACAGCATTTCAGATGAATTAGAACCAAGGAGTCAACCCCACGGGAGAAGGCAGGGCTCTGCTTGGCCTTTGTTTGCTGACAGCAGCTCTCAGAGGCTCCCACGCACCCTAAACAGCTCAATGCAGCATTGCTAATGCCATGTAGTGTGATTGGGTATACACAGCAGCAGCAGGTGAATATACCTGTGGGTAGGTGGATATCTCAGAAGGCTCCTGTAATCATCCCTGCAACGTAGTCAGTGCTCTGCCCTATACTTAGTGCATAATACCTCCTTGTGTAACACCAGCACGATAATTAGCGCCACTTCAGCAGGTTGAGCCCAAACACAGCGCAAGAGCAGCCCGGTGACTCCCCTGGGACATCTGCTGGCTTTTGGAGGGCAGCACTAGCTCCTGCTGAAGCACTCAATGATGGACTAAAGCTTCAAGCAAGATACGTGAAACCCAAGTCTGCAGAAGTATCATGTTTAACTGCTAGGATTATTGCTTGGGAAGACTGCATGAGAGGTGCCACATGGGCACTGTAAAGCCTGCAATCATGTCTTGATTCTCAGAAAAAGGAGAGGTCTAGCATAAGCTAGATTTCATAAATCAAACCTGTATGCAGGCATCACTCCAGTGTAGTGTGTGCTTTGGCTGTGACATAAGGCACCACATTTCTGTCTGTCCTGCTGGAATATACAAACCCTCTGACATCTTTGTGCTAAAAATAAGTTGGAATTGCCACGTCCCTTAGTGTGCAATTTACTTATTTTTGTCTCCTATCCTCTGTTCAGAGGTGATGGCATTCCAAGTGTGGCCAGGGCCTGTAAAATGCTCTCGGTGAACCCATACAATGTGTTTAATCAGATCTATCTAATGATATGGGCTGCCTGGGAGACAACTATGAGAGAGGCAGCAATCAAACCCTCACTGAAGCACAGTGAAACAGTAGGACATCGGCTACAAAGCCACATTTTTTCCCTCGGGTTTGGAAGGACAATCCCAGAGTTCACCTTACTGACATACAGAATTGTAATCATAGAATGGTTTGGGTGGGAAGGGACCTTAAAGCTCATTCAGTTTAAACCATGGACAGGGACTCCTTCCACTAGAGCAGGTTGCTCAAAGCCCTGTCTAACCTGGCCTTGAAAGTGCCAGGGATGGGGCAGTCACAGCTTCTCTGGGCCAAGGGATCTCCTCCCCCAGCCTGTATTTAAGGTGTGGGTATCAAGGTAATGGATCTGCTATTTTGAAAGTTAGCGGAGGAAATAGTGCTTTGTGACAAATCTTAGACAGGCACCATCTGTCTAGGACAGCTCCCACTCTCTTCCCCTTCTTTGCAACCCCTTTATGGTCCCAAAGAACAACAAGAGTTGCTATAGCCCCCCATCATGGAAACCAAAGGGAAGACAACTTTGCAGTCCAAAAACCTGGGTCTGTGTCCTGTTGAATACACAGTAGTATGGGGGAAAATAATTGTACAAGTGCAGGAGAATTTGAAAACATCAGAAAATAGTAGTTGCCCTTCCCAGCCCTGCCAGCCTCACTGCAGAGGCTTGAAGGGACAATCAGTGTGCAGTCTTGATTGCAGCTCTGGCAATCTTTCTAAAGCAGGAGGTGACCTGAAAACTCAACCAACAGAGACCAATAGCTCTCCTGCAGCTGAGACCCAGAAAAAGGTCTCTGGAGAGGAAAGGAAAAGCCATCAGTGAGAAATGTAACTGTATGAAAAGTCAAAATGCAGTAGAAAATACCCACCCAAGTCCTTCCTGTGCTGCTCCCCTAGTTCCTACTTTATCTACACCACTGAAAAGCAATGCAGTGCTGGGAAGGGGCTGGGACCAGGGCTCATAGGACATGGGCCAGATGCGGCAGCAAGAGGCTTCTGCCCTGGACTCCAGCTGGCCTCAGGTATGAGTGGGAAAAGGTCTGGAGAGGAGGTGCTTCACATTCAAACCCATATATTCACATTTATCCAGTTTGCCTCAGCTTCACTATCTTCCCACAGCAGATGGGATGGGTCAGTCTTTACACTGTAGAAAATAATATCCTACATGCAGTTGTGAAAGCATCCTCTCTCATTTGTCCATATCCAGCTGTCACTTTCTGTAATATACACCAGCATATGGGCAAAATGCCATTTTAATGAAAAAGAATAATACACAGGAGAGCTGTGAACTGAAATCGAGTGTGGCCTTTTGGAATAACTGGAATATCTAGACAAGGAAGGATTAGTAGATGCTGCTCATACCACTTCTAAGGTGATGAGAACAGCAAGTTATTTCCACTGCACTGCTAAAGTATATTACTTATCAAATATACCCTATAATTTATATACAGTGAAAAATTGCTGGAAATGTGCATGTTTTCAGAGTGCTGGTCTGACTGAAAAGAAAAAAAAACCCAAACCAAAAACCAAAAACACCCCAAAACCAGTTTTTCATTAAAAAAAAATTGGAGGTGCCTCACAGTGCCTGGAACCAGATTTATCTTAGAATTAACTCTAGGAGACCTGGGACAGGCACATACTTTTTATTCCCCTTTCACATGGTGCTGAGCACTACAGGGCACAGCCTTTTGACAGAAGATCTGAGATAGTGCATGAGTAAAAAGACCATAATTTGGACTGGATTTTGAAAAAAGACACTAGGGACACAGTGCCCAAATCAAATGGCAATTTTGAGACCACTGGTCCGTAACATTAATTCCTAATGAAAGTTTCATGTCTGCAGTAGTGCAAAAGCCACCTTGCTGAAGGAGTCCTTTCCCAGTACAAAAAGTGAATAATTATGTATTTCCCTGCTGCAGTCAGACTGTCCATTTGTGGTCCAGGGACCACAGATTTCTCTAGATGTTGAATACTGTTGTTGCCAGGTTTTTATCTGGGAGACTACACACTACAAAACCCCTTATTGTATCCATAATACTGATATAGCAGAAGGGTGATTCAGGATGCCAGGATCTGTGTGGCATCCAACTCAGGCACAATACAAAGCAGATGCTAAATTACAGAAGCCCAAGGTGGAGCAAGCATTTCATGAACATCTGGAAAATACTGAGCTCAGGGTAAGAGGATAATGTACATATGGTGAACTACTTTAAAATTCTGAGGATACTTCTGATCAAAAAAGAGACAATGATTTCTCAGGCTTCCTGTGCATGAATTCAGGAGTGCAGTGATTCATTTTCAGTCGGGCAGTTCAAAGACAAAGGTGTACTAAGCTGGCTTCTTGACATTTGCGAACAGAAACCGTCTTCAACCCCACACAAGAAACAAATTAGCTGTTCCAGATTAGAAGGAATGTATTAGCAAAGCACCAAAGGGTTCAGAGTGGGGTCTTTTCAATAGCAGCAGACTTGGATGATGATGCTCAAAGCACAAGCTGCCAAATCTAGAAGGCAGGATGGATGACGTATTAATTTACTTATTGCTTAAGTGCCTCAACTGATGAAGAAATGCTGCTATGAAACAAGGATTCTTGGAGTAAGGTCTTAATACACCACAGGAGTATTTAAAAGAATAAAGGAAGTATTTTAAATTGCCATATGAAAATTTCCAAAGCCCTCAGCTAAGCACATCTGCAAGAAAAATAAGAAACATGAAACCAGGTGACCTGGCCTGAAGGAAAAAAGGGGACCCTATTGCTAATATCAGATATGCCTCACTAGGGATGCAATACATAAGCAAAGGGCGTGTTACCATTTGCAGACCTGATAGTAATCAGAAGACAAATTTTCTTCACAGTTTGGGTGTTTTCTGCTGACTTTATATTTTTCATTTTACCTACTGCCAAATCTTGGACTAAGGGCAGATTTCCTATGAGACCACAAAATTATGTGTTTGTATTAAGTCACTAGCTCTGGAATTTCATTGATCTCTTACTTTATTTTTTCCTTATTTCATAAACAAAATCACCCAGCAGCAGATACCTAGATAGCCTCCATGGTGTAATTTTAGGATACATGCATTGCCCAAGAATGGTGTCTCTATACCTTTTCTAGCAATTTTGTTAGTTCAGCAGAGGATATCAAAAACTGTACAGCAGAGACTTAATCCAGCAAATAATAATCCATCAGATCAGGGCAAGAGCACTCTGCACCACTTTGGCGTCAGTCCTGGAAAAAGCTCTAGTCCAAAAATCTCGGTTCTCAACAGCGTGGTCTTTAGCGGGGTGTTACCATCCCCACACCATGGTGTGGGCTTCCCTATGGACAATCAGATCTGTACGGAGGTACAGATCAGCTGTGCTGCCTTCATCACAGTGGACCTACCCTACTTTGACATGAAGTAAGAACACAGGCCTGTACATGACAATTCCAGCTGTTCAAGATAAATTAATAAACAAGAAAAAAAATCAGATACCTAAGTATTATTTGTTTATTTGACTGTGGACATGAATAGCAATGCACAGACTTCCTGTGAAGTCGGTTTTCCTCCTCCCAGAAGATAAAACAAATTGACGTAAGGCTGTGCATTTGTGGTGCCTGTTCTTTGTTCAACAAAAATCATATGGAAGAAGCAATGACTGATTTGAAATAAGCTACAAATAAGTTAAATGCTAACTAATCACACACTGCCTCGGTACTCCTATCTGCAAGCACTGATTGGTTTCTGACACAGGAAGCCATGGATCACACTGTGTACCTCCAGTAGGCTCACAGCCTCCTAAAAGGGATGTTTAATACTGTCTCTGCTGTGCACGCACTGTGCGGTCACTAACAGCAGGCATGGGGTTCCCTATTTAAAATATATTCATGAAAGGCAAAATAGGAGGAAAAAAGCCCCAAAACAGCTCCTTTGAGTGTTGCAACAGGAAACTGCAGCCCATCAGAAGTTAAAATAATCTGTAGTGTGAGAGTATGTGCTGCATGCCTGAGCCCATGCAAGCCGCCATCAATGTGTGCCTGCAAAGAGCAGGCAGTGTGGCAGGTTCAGCTACAGCTGGCATCCTCATTTCTGTCAAAACCAAGCTGTCTTCCTACAGGTGCTGTGTTCACTTGGCTTGAACCTAGGCTGCAAGAGGCAGTCAGTGTTTCTGACCTGGCTAGGGCACGCAGACCCATGAGCTTGAGGTCTCAGGGCACCAGCACCGGCCAGGGCAGGGTCTGAGCTGTTGGCTCAGGATCACACTTGCCTAGCTCCAGGGTGGTCAAGAGGACATGTCCTGTGTCATCCTACATGAAGGGGAGTGCAAGCAGGTCTGAGAACACGCAGCTCTCCTTTTTCTCCAACTAGCAGAGCTCTGGCATTCACACCATTGCAGCCTCTCTCGTTTTGTCCAGGTACATGGGAGTTGTCCCCTGTTCCCATCAGCTCTGGAAAATCAGGCTGCTGGGCTTTGGCTTCACCATGTCTGCAACTCACATGAAACATAGATTTAGATGGTTTTGGTGAAATGACTCAAACTTCAAGGCAGCTTTTGCAATCAGAAACTCCTTTCCCTCAACACTTTCCAGCAATCAGTTTACAACAGCATCATTTATCATCATTGCTTAATGATATATTAGCAATACTTCTGCCCTGGCAGTTAGGTTGTCTGTAGGAGCTATTACTGCCCTCTGGGCAGCTGCCAGACCCCACACTGCCTGGGCAGCTCTCCAGTTTCACTCCACTTGCTTCTGAGAGCTGCTTCAGGTATTTGAGCTAAGCCCTGCCTGCTGTGCTCACTTCTAAGGCTTTATACTTTCCCTGCTAGAGTGACCGACCACTAAAATAAACTTGACATGGCTTTTTTTTTTTTTTTTTTTTTTTACCTTTTCTTGGGAAGCAATTTCAGCAGAATTTCACCTATTGCCTCACAGAGTTATTTAACACAGCCTGGAACATTAATCCTTCTGTTTGGGTTTGTTGTGGTTGTTTTTAATTTAGGTATCAATTCTGCTTTTTCTATTTTACAGATAAATTTGCCTCCAAAATCCAAATAGCCAAGTTAGCTCCTGTTATGGCGAAGGTGAGCTGCGCTGAATTTCTCTCTGCTCTCCAAATCTGGCTTTTCCCTTACTGGAGAATAACCAGATGTCTCCTGGCCTCTGATAAGAAAGCAAGCTCTAAATCAACAGGTAGCAGTTAAGATAGGTGGCTCACTGATACTGCAACAACAGCACTGATACTGTTTTAATGACATGGGCAGCCTTGACTTTCTGTGCTCCCTTTGCCAGGCCAAAAAGCAGCTGGGAGCCTGGAAAACCACAAGTGATAAGAGGCCAGTACAAACACAGCACCTGCCTGCAAGTTTTGGCTGTGTCAGCTCTTGCAGTCACAGCTGTATTGCTCAAAGGAATATGAAAAAGCTGGGCAAAAACTTTCTGACTATGTTTTCATGTCTGGAAATATCCTTTGGTCACAACCACAATGTCTGAAAATGTTCATTCTGAATAAATTTCTTCTGAAAAGCAAATGAAAATGAAGAATGTTAAGTTCTTAAGAAAGTTAAGTATGTTTCACTGTGGAAACATACCAGGCTGGAACATTTCAATTCGACATATTCAAATACTTTGAAATTAAAAATGCAACATAAGGAAATCAAAGTTATAAATGAAAAAAATTGTATTTCAGATTATTTTATCCAATACAGAGCAGCAAAATAGTCCCCAAATTTAATATTAACAGAAACTCAAAAATTACATTTTATTATGGTTTTATTTTAAATTAGAAAATCCTGGGGAGCAGCTCTAAAGCTGTCAGTTGGTAACCTCTCTGCAAAAAAACAAGAATACATTTCTCTTTTATTGCTTTTGATCAGTCTGCTTTCCCCTTGAACACATAAGGGGACATTTAAATTGTAGGTTTTTAATAGAAAACTTAAAGGTAATTTTACATGGAGATGCAATGTAAGATCAGGGTATGATTTTTCTCATTGTATTTACTTAGATTACTGAGTTAGTAAAACAGGACACCCGAGGTAAAGGTATAGCATGTCAACACATTTGAAGTACAGCAGTTTCAAACTGTCTCTAAATTACCTTCTCTTCATGGAATTTGCCTTTATTTTCCAGTGCCTGGAGAAAAAATAATGAAATTCAATAACAATTGACTTTCATTCAATAAATGGTAAAAAGCAATAAAATGAACTCTGCAAAACTGAACTAAGATAACTTGTATGTTAATACATCTATGGACTCTCAGACCCAAGGCTTCATAGCAAAGCACCCTTTGCATAAACCACCTTAGCTGGGAAGAGTCACATCTACCTTTACCCCGAGGACGTCAGTGCAGGTGCTTGCATTGATCCCAGCAGCAGTGGTACAGCTGAGGTAATAAAATCAGCAGGCAGAAACAAAACTGGTACTTAAATCACTATGCTGAAATTTGATGAGGGCTGCTGCGTGTGACCAGGTCACTAAGGGGATGCTGCAGGAAGGAAACCATACAGCCTGCAAGTCCTGGTATGGAAGAGAATTTAAACATTCTGGGATTTCTGTGTCATTTTTCATACCGCCTCCACCCCACCACTCATCTGAGCTGCTGCTCGTGTGAGTTACCACTCGGTAAGGAAGAGAGGCAAGGTGAAACATTGCACCTTCAGATGCACAGATCTGGCTGGCTGGGGAGCTGTGCACCCAAGGGATGCCCCAACCCACCTTTCACCCTGTTTTTATGGTCCTAACAAAGCATAAATGATGAAAACCACCCCATTCTGGTTCTTAAGCACAGGCAGCAGGTCTCTCCAAGGCCCTTGTTTGGTGCTTTTCACTCCTGGGAAGCAAGCAGGGAGAGAGCCCAGCCTTCCTGGGTAGAAGGATGGTCCAGATAAAAAAACACCACATTACTGACAACATCTGAGGCCTTGCAGTCAGGCTGGGAATCTTTTTTATAAATTGATTGATTTTAAGCCTCCAGCTTGCCCTTCCCAATGCTGCACTGCCATTTTGCTTGTGCCATGGCTGTGATGACTGCGCCCATCCCTGCTTCACCGTGAGTGTGGGCAGGGAAAGCACACTGAGCAACTGGACCATAAATAAGGCAGCAAGTCCAAGTTTGTATTTTGATGCCTTACAAATTATGCCACCTCACCAGCACACCAGCTGCTGGCCCCCAGTTTTTCTCACCCCCTTGGGTCACAGCTATTTGAATTATATTCTTCAGCTTTTCTCTGATTCACATCATGGACACAGGGAATGGTTCCTGCCCATCAGCGGTTTGGTGGGTTATGAGTAACCCCAACAGACCAAGAGATCTCCAAGGGCTGCTGCTTCTGGTATCTCTAATGCCTGACAGCTTAGTCCCTGGGCATTTCACTGCCAAGTTAAAAAGCTCATTCATCACTTGAATATAGTACATTTTCAAATGTTAAAAATATTTCTGCATGAGGACCTACCTCTATAACTAAAACCTAGTCACATTCAAGCCTTAAAGGGAATCCAAGTGCTTACTTTTAGGCACAAAGCAAACCTGGGAAAATTCAGGAATCAGACAAAACCAAACCCTCATGAAAACTTACGGTGACAAAATACAGGCGTTCTAGTTTATCAGCCTGCACTCAAGTGACTGCAGACGGCAAAAAAATTAGCCCCGCGAGACCACGAGCACTAGATCTCTCGGTTCGAGCCTTGGGATGGGAGCACCTGGATCCGCAGCCTGGCACAGAGCAAGGCCGGCAATTCCACTGTGATGGCACTGCAAATGGTGCCAGAAGGCTCCTTTGCTGGTGGGCATGAGGTGAGGCACGATTCACAGCCAACAGCTTTTGCCATCACCACAACAGGCCTTCTCCGCCGGCATTTCCTCCGCTACCCCACTTGCAGGAGCGGTCCCGCCGGCACCGAACTGCTGCCCCACCCAGACCCACCGACACCAACGCGCACCTGGCAGTGGCCCACCCCACCTCCCCCCGCAGCCGCGCCCGCCCTACCGAGGACCCTGTCACAGATCACAGGCAGTCCCCCAGCCTCGCCCCTGCCCCGCACCCCCACTGACTGCAGCTGCCCTCCCCCTCCATCCCGCCACAACCTCTCCTGCCCTGCCCGCCTCAAGGCCGGTGGCACATCTCTGGCCAAGTGGCAAACCCCATGTAAATGACCCCACAGGCACCAGGTACCTGCTTATGGCCACATCCGCTGGCCCAGGTTCTCCTCATGAGAGGAGGGAGCTGAATAGGGCAACTAAGATGATTAAGGGAATGGAGCATCTCCCTTATGAGGAAAGACTGAGGGAGCTGGGTCTCTATAGTTTGGAGAAGAGGAGACTCAGGGGTGACCTTATTAGTGTATATAAATATATAAAGGGGGAGTGTCACGAGGATGGAGCCAGGCTCTTCTCAGTGGCGAACAATGAAAGGACAAGGGGCAATGGGTACAAACTGGAACACAAGAGGTTCCACTTAAACTTGAGAAGAAACTTCTTCTCAGTGAGGGTGACGGAACACTGGAACAGGCTGCCCAGGGGGGTTGTGGAGTCTCCTTCTCTGGAGACATTCAAGACCCGCCTGGACACGTTCCTGTGTAACCTTATCTAGGTGTTCCTGCTCCGGCAGGGGGATTGGACTAGATGATCTTTTGAGGTCCCTTCCAATCTCTAACATACTGTGATACTGTGAACAGCAGCTTTCACCACAGGCTTCCATGGCCTCACACTTTAGCATGGAGCAGGGTGAAAAGCCCTCCCATGTGATGGGGTTCTCCCATGTTGTGCTGTTTCTGACCAGTGCAGCCGCAGGCCGATTCCTGCCCAACAGCCCCACACGCACCCTTTGCACAAGTAGGAGTTCTCCCCACCCAGCAGGTCTGGCATCACAAACAGCTCCAGCGCCTCCAGGAGGTCTCTGGCTTGCTGCAAGGACGAAGAAGAGGTCAGCGCATGGGTGGCCAGGCTAGGAGACAGCCCAGCTCCCTGCTGAGACACTGGTCCAGGGAAAGAATGAGTAGAGGATCCCCACTTGCCATAGTACCCTCATCCCCAGCACCAGGTCCAGGAATGGTTTGTAAATGTCCAAGACTCTCTTGCACACCAAACAGTCCACTGCAAAGAGCAACGAGCACACCCTGGCACAACAACCTGCACCCACCGCCACCCTGCACAACGCAGGAACCGCCTCCCCCTCTCCCAGTTTGAGCTCTGAGACAGGAGCACCAGCATCTGGAGCTTGGCACAGAGGAAGGCTGGCAATTCCACTGTGTGCCAGCACAGTAAGTGTTGCAAGTGGGTTCCTTTGCTGGTAGTGATGAGATGAGCTGGGTATCCACAGTCAACAGCTTTTGCCATCACTACAACAGGGCTCCTGACCCACCGGTCCCATGGGACTGACCAACTGCAGCTCTGGATCATGTCCATGTGCTCAGTCATTTTCCCAAAGGATTTTAACTACAAGGCTCCTGGCAAAGCAGCAGCCCCGAGTGATTGCAGGCCCATGCCCTGGCACCAAGCACTCACCACGGGACCCCAGGTAACCGCCAGAGATCTGGTGAACCAATGTGGTGGCCTGGGTCTCGCAATCTAACCTAGAAACAGCAACACCGAGTCTCACAGAGTCCCTGTACCATGGCCATGCCACAGCCACCAGGGTGTCCTCAGCACAGACTCCTGTATGGAGCTCAAAGCTGGACACTGCAGGGGCAACACAACTTCTCAGGCAAGGGCCTAGGGGTACAAGTGCTGCCTGGAGAGCACGCTGACCCCACAGTCCCCTCCAGCAAGGCAGGGGACCAGCGAGAGGACAGAGGAGAAGAGCAGGGACAACCCATCAGAGAGAGGCCCCACGTACCTGGTGCAGCCACTCAGGCAGGACCTCTGCATGCCTTCGATGGTGTAAACGCAGGAACTTGTGTGCATCTTCCTGTTGCCTGAAGCACATGTGCTGAACGATCTCTGCAGGAGAGGGAGGAATCAGCCCCAGCACATGCTGCAAGAGACAGCCCCCCACCTCTCTTGGGGGCCCCGGGGATTGAGTCGCCTCAAACCAAAGCAGATGGCAGACTCATGTCAGCCACGGAGGAACCCCACACGCAGCCTATGAGGTTACCAGGTCCCAGCAGGCTCTGGAGTCACCTGCCCTCATCTCAAAGGTTCTGCTCCCTGCTCTCCAGCTCAGCTATGTGAGGGGAGGGGAGCGCAGTGCAGCGATTCTTACTCTCGAGGTCCCAGACAAAGGCCATGGGCTCTGTCACACTGCCACTGTTGGCAAAAGCCTGCACCACATGGTTCTGCATGATGCATACCATGCAGAAGCTGCCTTGGTCACCTGGAGCAGAGCAGAAGATGACAGAACGTTGGGAACAATCCCAGCAGAGATCAAGGCAGTACAGGAGACAGGGCATCACCAGTCCAGCACAGCTCAGTTTTCCCTATGAGCTCTGTGCTACAGTCCAGCTCTGGGGCATCTTGAGTACACAGGGACCAGCACGTCACCCCCTCTGGTGCGGCCTTAGTCACAGCATCACCCAGACAAGACAGCACCCATGCAGATGGGAAACACGTCACAGGTACTGGCTGGAGAAGCCCACAGGTCAGCCCTGAGGGACAGATGATGGGGCCACAAGCTCTGCTGCTCTGCTTCCTCACAGCTCAGAGCAATGCCCATCTCATTCCTTTTCAAAGCCACACATCAGGAGGGATTTCATCAGATCCCATGGACTTTTGCACGTTCTGGTTCTTAATGTGATCTTGAACCTGATCCTCTCCTCCAGTGGGCCTGAGGTCTTCCTTCTCACTGTCCTGTCATCTGTCTCCCAAGACTTGGGCGGTGTAGTGAGAGCATTATGATCAAAGGATCCTAAAAGGCTGAATCTCTTTAACCATGTGCTAACACAACTGTAACTGACTATGAGCTTAACTCACAGTTTCCTTGGATTTGTGGGTTTACCTTGGAATTGGAAATGCTTTGAATGTGTTTTTGCAGAAACATGTGCATACTGGAAAGAAAAAGAACATTTAGTGGGAGCTGCCAGTATCTGGCTGATAACCCAGCATATGGGGTATGTATGTTGGAACTGAATCACTCTTGCACGATAAATTTTTGGGGGGTTAAAAGAGGGCAGAAAAGATAAACTCTATTGAGACTGACTATGTTACATGAGTCCGTGGATGAGGACTTTACTTTTGATGTACATATATTTGTCAGTCATCACTAAAGATTTATTTACAGGGTGTCATTTGAGGTTTGCTCTGATATAACCGACAAAATACTCACAAGGTTTATTTTGCTTGGGCTTGCTCTTTCCAGGTGCCTTAACTTTTTTCAGCTGCTCAGGAGAGATTTCGTAAACTCAACTTGTTCCTATGTTGTACTGGGTTTGAACATTTCTGGTGTTCATCCCTCCACTGCTCCCTCTTAAGCCTTGCCTGACTAAGCAAATAAACAGGAGGCTTAAATATATTCTTATATATGCACATGCTAAAGAAAATACACAATATTTACCCAAGACCACATCACCCTCCTCCTGGATGCTCGCAGAGCCTTCAGAGGGACTGTGAGCTTCCTGTTACTGAAGGTCCCTTGATTGCTGCAGCATGTTCACCCTCGAGGAGAGGTTACTGGTACTGGGTGTTACTCTAGGTCTGCTTCAGATGGTAAGGTAGAACTGTTTGTGTCAAGGATCTAACTCGAGAATATAGCCTGACAGACAAGAAATTTGAAACCTGTCTCAGGTCTGATTTCAGTTCTTCGTCTGAATTTTTTATTCCTTTGTCTCACTGTGAATTATTTCATTATTTCCATCTACAGCTTGTTCTTAAATCAGTGAGTTTAAAAACTGCTTGTATTACACACTTGATGAATGTTTCTCATCAAGTTACATTTACAGTTGTGTAGCATGTAAGAAATCAGTTGTTCTCACTTAGCGTGAGATTCCAGTAAAAGCCAGTTGGCCCCACAACATCCATAAAAAAATGCCTTTGATCTCTGCTGGCTAAATCAGTGATATCAGCCTTTAGGGACTAGTAGGATCCTCTACCAA